AACAAAAAATCAAATCTTTTTGGGCCCTGAAAATTTTTATGTTTTGCTAATGACCGCCATGTAACAATAACTGTCATTTACCAAGAATGCAGTCCACAACACTGTTTTACAGGAAATAGCGTTCATGACATTTATTATTAACAACATTTAATGTTTGGCCCTGGTTTCGAATTTTCCAGAATTCATCTTAGACGTTAAACAAAAACAAATTTGATGCTGAAAACGCATCTAGGACACAACTAGTCATTTAAAAACAGAATAGTCATTTTATCCAAGATTTTCTCATTGGCCATTTCAAGCTGCGGCTTCAATATGTGTTTTGCTGTATTTTATGTTTTTGGGCGTTTTTTCCTTCTATGGACGTTTTTTAAATTCTTTGAACGTATTTTACTTCTTTGGGCAAAACTTAATCTTCCTGTTACTGTGTAAAAATTATCTCTGTAAGCACTTTGTAACGCTCCCCTCCGTCTTTGATGTTTGTGTTTCATATACTAGAACGCTTCCCTCAATGCTGCAACTCTTCATAATTAACATGTTGCATTCCCAGAATTGAGATATATTTATGTAAACAAAGTAGATGTTATAAAAGAATCAGTAAAACAGAGTTGATTTTTATAGCAGACGTTTGTGTAACAACTTCTTGCTTGTATATTAGATATGTACAAGTAATCGTTTTGGTTTGTATTCGCCGTCAATCAGACTTCCATCCTAAATATTTCTAAAGTATATGTCAGATTAATAACATTTACTAACAAACAAACAAAAAGTCATAATGTTTAACTCAGTCAATACTTTTGTTACAACCACTACACTTAAACAGTCAATACTCTTAAACTATCAATAAACTTAAACAGTCAACATTATTGAAACAATACTTTTAAGAAATCAACGTTCTAGACAAAAATACTCTCCAACAATAAATACTCTTAAACGATTATTACACTTAAACAACCGATAAGTTCGATAAACTCCTAATTGATTATTGAATACACTTAAACAATCAAACTCTTAAACAATTAATAATCATAAAGCTAATTAAGCCCCAGAATGTTTTTTTTTTTCTATAAAAGGGATAAATATGACATGTGTTTCATAATGATGCAATGATGGATTTATAAATGTTATCACCTGAATAAAACAGCGCTGTATGTAAAATAATTTTTGATAAAGATAGCAAAATATAAACAAAGAGGCATTTTGATTTCCGTACAGAATATAAATTCACTATAATTGTACTTATTGTCAACTATAATTGTACTAATTGCCAAAACACAAAAGAAAGATGATTCAGCAGCATGACTAATGACTAACGTTTTGGAAGCTGTAACAATGCACAAAAATATAACAGATTTTGAAAGATAGAAATATTTGCATTTTGGGCGCTTATTGGCCTTCTTATTTCTATATCACTGAAGCAGTCAGCACTCTTAGATCCTCTTGTGGCTGAGGGGTGGCCTTAAATGGTCGAGGCGTCAGAAATCCAGCTAACAGAGCTTAGCTTAGCTCCAGCAGGTGAGGTGGTTTTGATCCCTGATGTTGCTTTTATGTTTGTAACACCCGGGGTTTTGGCGCCATATGATCTAACTTGTGTTGCATCGTAAAACCAAACCAAACAAACAAACAAAAATACTCTTAGACATTCATGACTTTTTTATCATCATAACATAAACAATTAAATTATAGGGATATGATGTAAGTAGATCCCATACTTGAATACTGGTTAAGAATAGTCTATGATTTTTACTCTTTAATATTTTTTTGTTGTCCTTGCTTTCAAAGAACTTTGCCCCTTGTTCAGAATTTACATGTCCTTAATTACCACAAAAGTGATACACTGAAATTAAAAGCAGGTGTAAACTATTTGTTTTATAAAGAAGGTGCCATCTGTAACTGGTGCCTTGTTTTTCAAAGAAATTGTTTACATTTTTTTCCTGTTATACAAAGATCTGGATAATTGTATATATAACAAAATAATATAAAAAGCCAGTTAATGGCATTCTTTTGCAATTATTCAGTTATACAAGGAAAAACATAAAAAGAAATGCATGTATAACATAAATCATAGTCAAAGTTGATTACATTATTGTATTATATTGCAGGAAAGCCCATGTCTAAAAGGGCGTGAACGGTAGTTTGCATCAACCATTACCGTTCACAGGTTCAATCAGTAAGAAAAAAATGGAATCCCTAAAGAACCTCAAAAACGACAAGATTTAAAATGTTGCAGGCTCGTTTTTATTGAGCCTGTTCATGTATGGTACTGGAAAGTGCAACCGAACCTGTAACATCTTTAGACTTGCCTCGTTTGGTTGCCTATATGATTTCCATTTTGATTCTAGATTGCGGTCATCTTTTCAATTGCTTTGGTATGAATGTTGAAAAATTCTTTGGGGTGACAAAATAACATTTAGAATACGAGTTAATCGAGAAGTTTTTATGTAAATATTTACTTCTAAAATAACGTCATACACATGTTAACACGTTGTGGAATTTCTGCAAATTGTACAAAGTTTATTACTTCAGTGAATCACGTACAATCTTTATTTCAGTGAATCACGTGCATTTTGTCATTCCTAAAATGCAAGAGGAAATGTGTAAAACCTGTTGTAACTAAACTCTGTAAGTGCCAACCTATGGCAGGTATAAATTATGGGCGATTTTATTTCTGAAATATGTGATTCACGTCGGCAGAAAATCTGGAGAAAATGATTGTTTTGCAAAAGTATTCTTAGTTTTAAAATAGCATCCGATAATAAAGATTAGTCTATTTGAAAAGAGACTTTTATTGATGTATTAATATAAAAAGAACATGTATATATCGGTATATGTAATATCTATGTTTATCTTATATAATCATGTCATTGGAAAAACCTGTCATAACTTATTCTTTATGTGCATTTGAAACAGTCAATAATTCATTAATGCTTTCGGATACCTTTTGGCTTCATCTAATGTTCTTCATATGACATGACGATCAGTCGCATCTATAGAACAAATCCCATACAAAAAATAAAAATGATTTCATTTTTTTATATTTTAAATAAAAAATTTAAAATCACATTCATCAAATGCCCACGGGAAAATAAATTAAATTAAAAAAAATACGATTAGTGAAATTGTCGAATAAATTTCCAGATCATATATAAAACATGTCTATCAAATACGTATATAGTATTGTAATATCACATATCGAGATAACGAGTATAATTTCTTGCAAGTTTCGACATTTTATGCTCGATTTTATAGCCGAGTTCATTTTGATCGTTGAAGATAGAATCAGGTGGATTATTGCCAATACTGTTTGTTTGGAATTTAGTTGTTACTAAAAGCTGCTGTTAGAAAATACATTAATCACGGAAGACACTTTTTATCACGTGAAGAGTTATTTACAGCGAATGTCAATTCATTCCATTTCTTATCTTAAAGTTGATTTTTTTTCTTTGTATAACACGAATACAGACAAATCAAAGATCGCAAAACAAGTACAAATATTTTATTAAAAAATTGCGGTTTATAGAAATAGAAATATTGTTTCGTCGTATTAATTAACAGCGAGATATTAAATCCGATTTATGGCATTTTTAAGGAAAACATTTTTTACAACGTTTTCATTATTAATATAATCATTACATAAAATACACAGGTTTAACAGAAGTATGGCTATCGAAGACTTTTGCCTATTTTACAACAGTAATGACATTCGCTGTCGTTTCATTACACACATACATATTTTTTGTCAACAGTGATAACAATGAACCAATAGAAGTAAACAAAATAAAACGTAGACAGGGTTCGGGCGCTAACTATGGTTTGGCTGACTTGGTGCTCTGTGCATGACCAACAAGATGAACCACGCAAATGCAGTCCTAACTTTTCGGCCATTTCCGGCAATCTTCGGATAATAATATATCGACGAGGTGTTCCGATTGCACGCAATAATTAGTAAAATAGATCCGTGACGTCACTATAGACAAACAATTTTAAGTTTTCGCGTTTCTTAGTTAATTCTAAACCCTGCCATAGGTGAAATTGCCAGGGAGAAATTGTTTGAAAAATTCACGGTATTGTCTTCATTCGCCCAATTGATCAACGTAATCGTTTTTTAATAACAAAAAAAAACAAAACAAACGAACAACAATTGCATCTTCTCGGCACTTTCCGTCAATCTTCGGATAAAAATAGCCGAGATGATCCGATTGGAAAAAAATAACAAAAATAATAGAGCAAGTGAAGAAAAAAAAGAAAGAAAAAATGTTTGTAACATATAACATATGTTTCTTTCGTCTGGAAATGTGTACCTGACATTTACAAAAAATATCTGAACAACTGTCATGTTAGATTCTAGATAACAGTTAATATGTAATACATAGTAACCGGTTAACGATTATAAAATTATATAAGGAGTTAACACATTTCTGCATTAAGATGGTATAAATCATATACTAGTAAATAAGCAATGAAGTGAAACAAACTTTCAATCAATACAATAATTCCAACATATCTTAAACTTAAAGATCAAAATGTCTACCGGATATAGCATTAATTCACATTTTGGTTTTATTGTACATCAGTGAGCATTTTAAAATTAATTATGATTGTCTAACATAATTTCAATCATAATATTACAGAAATAAACTTCATTTTCCATCGGATGTCAAATATATACATTCGTAATACATTATTATCAAAGATGACACCCTCTGTTTCTGTTTACATCTAAAACAACGAGGTAGAACTGCTTAAGTCCGAGGTTATTATTGATAATAGCCGAGCTGTCCCGATTGACGATCCAGCTAATAACTTAAAAAACATGTATATGGGAGGTAATTTGAGATTAACATCCAAATGAATGGTTTCATGCAACATCTTTTAGAAATTCAAATATCAAAAGAGTTAATATCTGAATATATCATTATAAAACCATCATTTATACCATGGAATAGGGTAGGGGTATACAGATAAAATATATATAAGTGTTCGGTGTTTATTTTAAATTGAAGGGTGTTCTAAGGACGCAAGATAAAGTATTGATGTCACAATTCCAGAGATGCCAAGATTCCATAGAAGAACTCAAGAAACAGCGGCCGTGGTATGAAGTGTTCAGTGATGACGAGGAGGAGGAAGAGGACGGTAAACATTGGGAGGATTGGGAGATTGATGGTATGTACCTGATTACCTATGATAACATAAGATTGGGAGATTGACGGTATGTACCTGATTACCTATAATAACATAAGATTGGGAGATTGACTACCTATAATAACATTAGATTGGGAGATTGACGGTATGTACCTGATTACCTATAATAACATAAGATTGGGAGATTGACGGTATGTACCTGATTACCTATAATAACATTAGATTGGGAGATTGACGGTATGTAGCTGATTACCTATAATAACATTAGATTGGGAGATGACGGTATTTACCTGATTACCTATAATAACATAAGATTGGGAGATTGACGGTATGTATCTGATTTACCTATAATAACATAAGATTGGGAGATTGACGGTATGTAGCTGATTACCTATAATAACATTAGATTGGGAGATTGACGGTATGTAGCTGATTACCTATAATAACATTAGATTTAATAATAAGATTGGAGATTGACGTAAGTACGTGATACATAATAACATAGATTGGGAGATTGTATGTACCTGATTGGGACCTATAATAACATTAGATTGATTGGGAGATTGACGGTATGTACCTGATTACCTATAATAACATTAGATTGGGAGATTGACGGTATGTACCTGATTACCTATAATAACATAAGATTGGGAGATTGACGGTATGTACCTGATTACCTATCATAACATAAGATTGGGAGATTGACGGTATGTACCTGATTACCTATCATAACATTAGATTGGGAGATTGACGGTATGTAGCTGATTACCTATAATAACATTAGGTCAGACTATTGTATTCATTGGGAGATTGATGGTATGTATCTGATTACCTATCATAACATAAGATTGGGAGATTGACGGTATGTACCTGATTACCTATCATAACATTAGATTGGGAGATTGACGGTATGTAGCTGATTACCTATAATAACATTAGGTCAGACTATTGTATTCATTGGGAGATTGACGGTATGTAGCTGATTACCTATCATAACATTAGGTCAGACTACTGTATTAATTTTTCCATAGACTTACAGTTGAAGAAATAACCCTACCTTAAAATGTAGTTTTTATGCTGAAGATGTGATTTTTGCAGGCAAATGATATACCTCACACAGTAAAATGATCTTGTTATATAAGGTCGCCCGACCAATTTTTCGCAAAATGTCTCAAATGGTGATTACCTCCCTTTTCACTGAAATTTTCTCCTGAACAGAACTGACATATCATTTTTTTTTTAAATGCAAATAGTTTAGTGAAAAATCATCGTAGAGACTTATGAAACAGTTCATTTTTTAAGAAAACAATGTAGTGTTAGTTTCTTAAATAATTTTCATAATTTTATACATTACATTTTCACCAAATCACCTCATGTCTCATCAAATCTTACGGCTTTCCTGAGAAAATTAACAAAACATCTGTGACACTCTTAACAAATGACCTGACCCACTGCAAACAAGAAGTAAGGTTTATATATTCAAAACAGTTTTAGTTTTTTTAATACCTCAAGAAAAACGGATTAGTTTTTAACAGTTTGTTTAAATATTCAGTTTCTTAATAATAAGAAGTTGCCATATGAAAAATTCAATATTTTTTCAGATTTTGACAAGTCCGATGTTCGAGAATTCAACAGAAGGTCGCAGTCAATTCCGCACTAAATCCATATCATTACGAAGCTTGCCTAGTGTGTGAATCGTGTTTTATACAGCTTTCATTCCACACAGATCTGTCCACGTGTTATCCACGTGTTGTGTGAAATTATAATATATGTGATATTATTTCGTGCCATTGTTTTGAAAGTTTATTTTCTACAGATATGTAAGGCCTAGTATGTGACGTGATAAGAGTGTTTTTATCATAGGTGATATCTAGATATCTTTTTGTAATTTTTCATTCGTAAGTTTTATGAAGTTTGTCACAGAGTACAGTAGTGTTTTCTTCTTATATAGATGTACAATTCCTTTATTTTCTGTAACAGAGTGATAGTGTTTGAAACTGTACATGAATCTCCTACTTGTACAGAAAGAACTAATGTGTGCTTTTGATTTGTAAACAACTTGTATTTTAAAGTGTTAACACGTGTTGGATAATTGTTGGATTCATCGTGAGTGCTGAACTACACAAATGTAGTATAATGAGAGTGTTAATTAAATGATATGCGTAGTTTAGTGAATTCAAATTAGAAAATGTGGTGTGCAACAATTCATCGGATTTTTTTTTTCGTGAAAAACGTTTACATTAAAAATTTATTTCATTCTTTGACGTTTATGTTATATTTCTCAAAGGCGACAGTGTATGAAAATAAAAGAATTGAGTGGATTTGTGAAAACGCAAAAATCATAATTTGGCTAATGTATAAAGTGCACGTTGCTTGTGTGTGAAAGAATGTTACATCATTGACATTAATCATGTGATATTAAACACGTGGCATTAAACACGTGACTTTAAACACGTGGCATAAACACGGTACATAACCAATATGAAGTAAGACATCTATATTTTTGTATTTATTCGCAAAGGATGATACCGACAACGAAGTTTCCTTGTTAATATTTGTGTGTAGATCTATATGTAATGTAAATAGTTTACTTTCTTAAACTTCTCTACATTAACTTTCTTAAACTTATCTACATTACAGTATTGAAAAAAAACCCGGATGGAATTGATTAAGTCCGCAGCATTTTCATAAATTGCGCCAATGTTGTCAATGTAATTTAAATGTTTTTATTTATTTATTTTATTTTTATTATTATTATTTTGCAAAACCGGTATTTTGTGAAAGATAACTCTGTTATCTTTTTGTATGATTCATTATGTTAATTATTGAAACATGTAAGGGAAGTAGCCCTAATTTTATATAACTTGCCCTTGCGTTTGATGTTATATGACCCGCGAGGTTTCTGCTCTTTACAAATTTAAGGCATGTGCTAGCATTGAATGACGTATTCTCGAAAATACAATGTATGTTGATTTCAATGTTAGAACGGTTTGAAACGACCCATCCAATCAAATCAATTACAGTAACATCGTTTTTGTCTCATTTGACACAAAAAACCCTTCTTATCCAATAATGTTAAAGTTCTAATCCATCAATAAAACAAGCTAACTTTCTTAAATGGACTTGTCCAGCTTCTATCATTGAAACAGTTCATTATAGTTTGTGCCATCCAAAATGAAAATGAAAACGAGGTTGAATCATAAAAAAAACATTTTTGTAAACAAAAATGGCACCCTCGCGATTTTTCATTAAAATGTCTTCTTTTCTTGTAAAAGCAATGTTTGATTTATCTACGGCAAGTCTCTGTTGTTTATCTTTCGTAGCCATTGCCGGAGTACACTTCATTTTGAAGATGAACGAGAGGAATCACATGTCATGTTTCTAACTGGTTAAAAAATCAAACTTATGGAGCCAGCAGTACGAGCTGACCTAGCTGACAAAGCCTAATAATCACTTCCGGTTCCAGCAAGCTGAGCCGAAGTCTGGTTCCCTGCAAGTATTTAATACGGAACGGGGAAGGAATTCCAGACTAGCTGACTTGGCCCTCTACCGGTGGCAAAGTCTAATAATAACTTCCTGTTCCGGGTTAAGTAATAAAACAGCTCTGAGTTATAAAATGTTTCTGTTGGAATCAACTGTATTAATTGTCCAATAGGTTTATACAATAAGTGAGTTCAAAGTTAAATGAAAGTCTCATTTAGTGCTTGGAACGTACAATGTAAATAATTCTGATTTTTTTTATTTGTAGAGAATAAAACCCAGATACTTATTAAATAGTTTTATTAAGAAATAAGTAACAGTTAACTGTAAATGTAAATGAAAGCGTGAGTGTAATTCTTCTACCTCATTGTCTATGTACCTCATTGTCTATGTACCTCATTGTCTATGTACCTCATTGTCTATGTACCTCATTGTCTATGTACCTCATTGTCTATGTACCTCATTGTCTATGTACCTCATTTATTAGAACTAATCAGCAGCGCAACGACACTATGCTCCTCGTAGCCGTTTTCAAACATTTCTGAACAGGGAAGGTCCCTTTTAAAATTAACCACTAGGGCTTGCACAGATTTCTGGCTTTAAAGCAGCACGTCCCAAGGTTCATGCTATTTTTCAAGAAAATTTTGAAAATGTATTTAAGAGTTAAATTGTTTGAAGTAACCAAAAGGAAGCATTTTACATGTTACAAACAGCAGTCACAACACGCGTAAATTACCAAATAGTTGTCAAAATATTTTAAAAGCCTATACTGCGTTAGTAACACAGTAGAATTCTTTTTTAAAAAATACTGAAAAAATCAATCATTAACCGCACATAACATGTAATTAAAGTATTACTTAAATCTTGAATCTTTTTACTTTTCCTAAAATCTAAGAACATTTCGTCTCATGTTTGATTTTATGGAAAAAGTTTGGCTCATCTGTGAGGCATGCAGCTTTTACATAAAATATATTGAAATCGATGTAATTATTTTTTTAAATCTATTTTTCTAGTCTTGTTATATTTCAAACACTGCTAACTTGTGTATATATTACACTTCTTTCAATTAGATTATACTTTTTCAATTTTGGGATCTTAAACAATGTTCGACATCACATGTTGTTTTTTTTCCTGATAAGAAATACATTTAAACTTACTTAATTGGGTCATGCAAGAGCGGGAAAATGTTCATATCCAGCCATCCTCATTTAATCAAAAAATACACGTACATGTATTACTATTGCATTATTGGGTGTTTATGTGTGATATTCTTTTATCAATATAAAGACACTTCTAAAAAATTATAATATATATATATATTATATAAAATGTACTTATAAATGAAATATTGATGAAATAAAATATGAATTTTCATTTTCCGTATTTTCGCTGTAAATCTTTATTTTCTACTGCAGTGAAACATATTTTCCGTATTTTCACTGGTGTCTTGCCAGACTAATTCTAAATTCAGCCAATACACAAAACTTTAGAGGAAGTCTTTCAAACTATGATGTAAAAAAATAGAAAAATATATATAATAAACAGAAAATTCAAGTTTTTTTTATATACAGGATTTATTTTTATCTGGTGATATGAAAATTATTATATTTCACTCGTGGCTACCACCACTCATGAAATATTTATGTTCACATAATTCTATAAAAATAAGACTTGTATTTAAATTGAATGTCCTCTATGAATTATATGATCTGATATTAGACGTATAGGTATTTTTTAGTAAAATCAAAATATCTCTTTAACCACTAACCAGACGATTGTTATCAGAATATGTGCATGTGTTTAGTTTTGAAATTATAAGAGAGATGTTATTTTAACATGATGAATGCTTATTGTTAAATCTATTCTTCTATGTTCCATAAAATCGTGTTTTCAATAAATTTTGAATGAAATTTATTCTTGTTGATGATTGTATATTAATTCTTCTATATAAATTTTCAGGGGAAATGTGTACCCATAGAAAATTTACATCCATTTTGAAAGTAAAGATAAATATACATGTATACTCGCTAATTAATTATACGATAATCATGGTTGATAAATTTGCTGGCCTGAGCAGTAAGTTCCGTTTTCACTAACATAACTTGAAAATGCTTTGGGTGGAGTGGAAGGGGTTGGGTTGGGCAAAATGTTATTTTTTCTTTTGTATGTACCCACATGCATCTACTTCACAATGTATATAATAACTTATACAAGACTGGAGTGTTATGGTATATATTAACTTATACAAGACTGGAGTGTTATGGTAAATTATTACCCCTCACTTTTTTCGTAATGCTAATTTCCCATAGGCCTCTGGGAGTTATTTTTACTGTTAATGCAAGTGTACCACGTGACTAAGAATTTTGTACTGTTACATAGGTAACAGTATTTTTTAAGAGGTCACGTGGTCTATTTCCTAAATAAAATGAAATAAAATGGCCGCCATTTTTTTCTCGATTCATTCTTATTTTCAACGTTAAACCCCGATAGGACATCAATTTTTCCTCTGGAGTCCCTATGACACTCATAAAATTTAGTTGTTTGCACCCTAGTGTGCTTTTCGCGTATAAAATATCTTTTTGCTGAATAGTCAAAAAGTGAACATCCGTTTTCAACGGAAGTAAATGCAATGTAAATAATTATGTTTCAAACTGGAACATGCAGACGATTTAAGCATGCAACAAAGGATTATTTAACAAATTTAATCAGTGAAACGTTACAGATATGGTGAACATAGGATATCATCGTTATTTTGTCAAAAACCATGCTAAGAATATTCTGGAAACAGAAGGATCAGATTTCACAGATCATAATCATGTAAATGGGTTAGTGTTTTGTTTCTTAAATAAAACCTAGCTTATTGTATGTTTATGATTTGTAGATATCATCACTTGCTTAAAGAATAAAAGAAAAAGAAAAGTTCTCAAGTAGGCCTACAGTAAAGTACACTTAAAACTTAAAAGGTAAGGACAGTTTAGTTATTGTTACTCTTGGTTTATTTTTGTTACAGTTAGATTTAGTTGACAATTTCAGATCATCTCAGTATTTTTGTTCGGGGTAATAAAATAAATAACACATGGGTTTGTGAGTAACAGTAAAAATATCATCCCTTGTAAAATACTGTTACCCTCGGCTACGCCTCGGGTAACAGTATTTTCCTCGGGATGATATTTTTACTGTTACCCACAAACCCATGTGTTATTTATATACTACAATAACGTAAATTATTATGTTTTGTTAGACTAATTCAACCATCGCATAAACTCCGATATTCAGTAATTTTGTTGGAACTTTGTCAAGTACCTTCCGTAGTAAAAATGTTGGATAATTACATTGGGTTTTTATGATCAAATTCGATCATTATGCTAAATGTGTTTAGACTATTTTACGGGCACCTGTCATTTTTAATTTTCTCTGTCTTGACAATTTATTTACCTAAAACTATTTCCAAAACTTTTAAATATAAAATAGATTCTTACTGAAATGATGTTCCATGTATCAATAATGATCGATGTTGATCAAAAATGCTTTCTTTATAAAATACACAAGGAAAATGATTTCGATGGATCTGTGCGAAACGGGCACATCTACATTATGTGATATGATTTGCAGTTGTTTCGCACTAAACCCTCGACGCAGTATAAATTTCAACTTGTCTAAATATATTTATTGTGTCTAGAAAATATTGTGATTATTACACGCTTATTAGCAAATAAATGTGCCAGCAATAATTTATTAACAAGAAATTAATAAAATAAATATATATGGTCGTGTATAAATTTTAGGCAAACTCTGCATTGTTCAATCCAGATAAAAAATACCGTGTGTGTCTAATCGATTAGATATATTACCAATAAACACCACGAAATCTAGCGTATTTATAATAATTATATTCTTCATTTATGAAGAGTTATTTGTTGGTGGCAAGAATCATTCGATCTTGAAAAGGGAACAGCAAGATATAATTTGGTCGAAGAGAGTGAAGATATAATCTGGTGGAAGTGATTGAAGACATAATCTTGTGGAAGAGAGTGAAGATATTATCTCTTACACGAGAGTGAAGATATAATCTGGTGGAAGAGAGTGAAGATATAATCTGGTGGAAGAGAGTGAAGATATAATCTGGTGGAAGAGAGTGAAGATATAATCTGGTGGAAGAGAGTCAAGATATAATCTGGTGGAAGAGAGTGAAGATATAATCTGGTGGAAGAGAATGAAGACATAATCTGGTGGAAGAGAGTGAAGATATTGTCTCTTACACGAAAGTGAAAATATAATCTGGTAGACGGGAGTAAAGATTATATCTCCACTCTTTTCCGCCAGATAATTTCTGGATATTCCGATCCGAAACGAAACATATGACAGATATTAATAATCTTGTACACGGAAGTAAAGACATAATCTGGTGCAAGAGAGTGAAGACATAATGATGAAGGTAAAATCTGGTCTAAGAGAATAAATATATAATCCGGTACACGGGAGTAAAGATATAATCTGGTGGAAGAGAGTCAAGATATAATCTGGTGGAAGAGAGTCAAGATATAATCTGGTGGAAGAGAGTCAAGATATAATCTGGTGGAAGAGAGTGAAGATATAATCTGGTGGAAGAGAGTGAAGATATAATCTGGTGGAAGAGAGTCAAGATATAATCTGGTGGAAGAGAGTGAAGATATAATCTGGTGGAAGAGAGTGAAGATATAATCTGGTGGAAGAGAGTGAAGATTTAATCTGGTGGAAGAGAGTGAAGATATAATCTGGTGGAAGAGAGTGAAGATATAATCCGGTACACGGGAGTAAAGATATAATCATATAATCTAGTAGACGAGAGTAAAGACAACTGTTGATAGATGATAAAGTGATGTAAACTAAAGCAGTAAACATATGTTTTACCTATGTTAATAAAAATATAGTCTAACATTGTTAACGATCATAATGATGTAGGAACTAAATGTATAATTAAACAGAAGGTAATCAGTACAGTCAAGTAGATATGATTTTCTTAATGAAATAAGGAAAGTTATAATATCCCCTGATAAAACGTATCTCAGACGAGTATAGAAAGTAATAAACATACAAATGTATGGCTGTTTGTTTCGCGATACATTTAGACATTCATTAAAGGCACAATATGCCTCAGAAATCCATGTATTTTTAATTCTTTGGAAATGTCAAGCAGGGGTTTACTAATGTTTTAATAATGGATTACGACCACGTTAGATGTTTAAGTCACTGAAATACATGTGTTTTTTTACATGTATAATATACCGTTGGAAAGATTATTGATTTTTTTTCTTACCAGCAGACTATTTTCGCACGATTTTCACGTGCAATAAAATTTTAGCAGATCATTTAAATACATGTGGTTTTTTACATGTATAATATACCGTTGGAAAGATTATTGATTTTTTTCTAACCAACAGACTATTTTCGCACGATTTTCACGTGCAATAAAATTAAAGCAGGCCATTTTAATACATGTGGTTTTTTACATGTATAATATACTGTTGGATTTTTTTCTACCCATCAGACTATTTTCGCACGATTTGAACGAGCAACAAAATTTTAGCAGGTCATTTAAATACATGTGGTTTTGTATACTGGTTGTAAACATGGCTGAGTTGAATTGTGATTTGAGAGAGGAAGAAAGAGCTTATTGCAAAATTCGTGGGCGTCAGAAAACGGGTCTAGATTTAGTTTATGTAGAAAATGTCCTTCCATATCGTACAATTGTTAGACGGGTGTAATGTATAACTATGTTAAGGATTATTCCCGTCCTGGGCGGTCAATTTCCGCTACCCCGGAAAAAGACCTCAGTTCAAGCTTATTAAGGATGTTTTGCTCCATCCCGCTTAACAGCTAAATCCTGACGTCTCACCTTGTGACTTTTGGTTAATCAAATCTTGCCTTCGCGGTCGCCGTAGTGCTGTTGGAAGCACTCTCTACCAATCAGGCAATGTTTAAACAGTATACCCAAAGAACAGTTCAAAAATGCTTTTTCAGAATGAATTCTAAGGCTGGAAAAGTGTATAAGAGGTCCATGGTAAATATTTTGAAGGACTCTACTAAGTAATCATTTTTCACTAGTACGACTTTTTAGTTGCCACTAATTAAAATATGTCCCTCTTAATTCTGGTTACAAGGGTACATTCAGTAACAGTCAGCAGGTTACCGCCAAATGTTAGAGTTAAAAAAATCCACCTAGATCTCCTGTTTAACCATTCCTTTAAAGATTTAGTTAGCTTTTACAAGAAGCTTATTCATTATATTAACATGACAGAGCATGTGTACAAGTGCAAGTTTTTTCCTCCTTATATCTAACTTAAAAGGTTTTTTCCTCTTTATATCTATATAAACTTAAAAGAACAACAAATCATGGTGGCCATTTCTAAATTTTAATTGTTTTTTCTTTGTTATAAAAACAATTGCAAAAAACAAGAATTAAAATTTCTTTTATTTGAATTTAAATATTACATGATGCGCATGTATATGAACGAACTAAAGCGAACATAAAAACAGGGCATCCAAACATATGCAATAATCAGGTATGGATCTTCATCTTTATTTTCTAGATTTATGTTTAGCTTTGTTGACCTGGTGTTTTCTTTGTCTCTGTGATTGGAAAGCTTCTTTCTTTGCTTTTAGTTTTCTTGCTTTTGCAATTTGCTCAGGTCTCTTTAATTCTGAACCCTTTTTCTTAAATTTATCTCTTTTGTTGCCTTGGTAACCAATATCTGATCCTTTAACATGTCCTGAAAGTATTGGGGGAAATTATATAAATATGATATGTATTGTCCAAACAGTTTACACATAGAAAGGTAAATTTTCCAGTGTTTTAATGTTAAAACAACATACATGTAAATGTAAATATTAAGTTTTTCACATTTGATGTAGCACGGGACTCCCTATAATTATTG